TTCTGGGAGGATCCTCAGTGAACCGGGTCACTGAGAATTTTCTCAATTTACTCATTTTCTCAATAACCACTGATTACCATCTTGACTTGAACACCTCCTGAACTCTTTTCTGGAGATGGTGAATAGAAATGAAGTAGCACCACAAGCCCCAGAGTATACAGTCAGACTGACACCAGCTGCAGGTCAGTTTTGAGCAGCTTCCAGAATGAACTAATTCATTGTTTTTACCTGGTTTGTATCAGCATTTTCAGTGGCTAGAAATCCTATTGAGTTCTATTGAAATAAGGCACGGCTAAAAAATGTTTTTTAAATCTAACTTAATAAAAAAAAACATACTTTGACAAATTCCCATTAGTTCTCAACATTAGTCTGTAGCTTTTTGGTTACCCAGAAGTTTTTTAACATCTGAAAATCTATGATCATTTTTATAAACAGAACAAAAAAATGATGATGAAAATTATGAAAATAGATGATCTTTTGTTACATCTTATCATTTTATACAAAACACTCCTTCCATCCAACCATCGATTGATCCCATCTCTTGACTTCTACTTGCATTGATTAGGGAACTATCCTCCTCAATCCTTGGGGACTTGTGCTGTGGGCACATCATGACAGCCACCGTCTGCGTCTGTTGCCAGAAAAGTGTTCTTGCTTCTGTTTGCATCATCCCCCCCTGAATTCCCAGTGTTGTCCCAGAAAAACTGAATTAAGTGATAACGGTTAAGAGGGAAAATATTATTTGTTTCTGATGAATATTGCCTCATATCAAAGGCCAGTGTGGCTGGCTGTTGAGCAGCTACACAGGGTGGTGAGGCATGCTGGGAGTAGCACAGAAATGGTTGGGACAAACATAAAAGACTGGCACCCAGTTATTTGTTTTGTAATAAATGCATTATTTAACACTCTTTTTACGTTTCTGTATACAGAGAAAGAAAATCTACAAAAGCTTTTTTTTTTCTTCCTCAAATTTTGCTACTTTGATAATGTGGGTTGTGTAAAACTAGTCAAAGTTTAACAAAAGGAACATTTCTAAAATAAATCAATGGTTTCCAGTTGCTGAATAGAAAACTTTTGTCTTTTGATTCATCCTCTATTTTTTTCTTTTCTCTTTTTTTTTTTTTGCGCAGTTAAACTGTCCACACAAAACAGAAACAGAACGTTGCTTTTGCACTGACAACTAATGCTGCAGGAATTTCAAATGTGGCAAATTCAGCAAGGCCACGTCCTTGAATCAACAATATCCTCTTCAGAACCCATGCATAACAACAAGGTTATTATGATGCCTGTCTCACCCATCAAGGTAATGTGAGCACCACAAAATCCTTCTAATCCCTACAGTGGGCTTGGAGCCTCAAATCCCAACATCATCAGCATTAAAAAAAAAAGGGATATACATTAAAAATATATATATGCGTTTGAAAGAATCATGTCTACAGTTTTTAATTAATCATGAGTTTTTGGACATTAGTGGTAATTTAAATGATTGCAAAAATGATTACAACACATGTTATAATTAGAAGAAACTTCAAGGCAAAATGATCACATGTGGTCTGTGTAATCAAGACTACACTATAACCTCCTCTATTCCTTTTTTTTCTAAGTGCTCGTATTGTTGCTGTGTAACGATTTTTTTTGTTTACTTGGTGTGATTTATATTGTGAAAGAAAAGAGACGCCACTGCATATTTTTTCATCCCGTTTCATGTAGTAAAGTTCACGTGCTGAGTGGCTGGGCCTTGATGCTCAAACGCAGTGATACAGCAGTAGAAAGGGAAACTGGCTGTTTGAATGAGGGCTGCTTTTCAAGGCCATACCAACCGTTTTGGTCAACTGATGCCTTTCCACTAAGATCCGTTACTTCATCTTCTTTCCTTCTGTGTCGCCTATGACTCGCTCCTGTCTTCCTGTGTCCCCTACCCTCCGGTTGGTTTCCTAACTTTCTTGCTGGGTTGAAGCTGGCCCTCATTGTGGTCCAGGATTTAACTCAGGACTCAGGACAACCTGGGCTTGTGGAGGTGCGTTTGCCTGTGCACCTTGACTTGTACACTGTTTGATTTGTTCCGTTTTGTACCTCGCTCTTAGACTGTAGAGCTCCGGTATTGTCACCATTTTTTAAAAAGTAAGTACCATTCCATTCTGGCTGCAGTTGAACTGATGGGCTGTTTCTTTGTGGACACATGTGAAGAACAGAAGTGCTGTGATGTCAGGTACCAGCTGTCCCACAGGTGGTGGAGGGGGCTGAAAGCTGAGTGGTATTTCAATGCTGTTTCCTGCCCTTGCCCATGCTCTACTTGCATGTGGCAGATTAAATCGATTATTCAACTCTCCGGTGCTTTCCATCCGGTGTCAGAAGAAAGGCCTGGCAGGTTTGAACCCTGTCCCCAAGAAGCAGAGCAGGAGAGAATTTTATCTGCAAGCATAAATTAGGCATACATTTTACCGTATTAGACACACTGTCAGTCTTCATGGTGTCACTTCAGAGGACCACTTATAGTTAGCAGTTCCACATTCTCCCCACACATACATCTACATGTAATAGTGGTCATGCATAAAAGAGATTATCAACAGTCAACACTCTAAATTGACCACTGTATGAGTGTGAGTGCTAATGCTTCGGTTGTACAACTCCTGGAATGGAAATAGTAGATCTAGCCAGCAAACTTGTCATTTTTTATTGTAACACATTGTGTTGAGTTCAGGGAATGTGTTAAAAAATATTTTGAATTTTTTTTTAGTGCCAGATAAATCTCTACATATGAACGCAGAACATTTCTAAGGTTCTTGCAACATAAAAAAACAAATAAAATAAAACACAGGAACAAAAACAAAAAAGTAAATTCATTTTATTGAGACTTTCCAAAGGTTCGTCTGTACTGGAGCAGTCATCTGTCAAGAATGGACAGTTCTCCAGGTCATGACAGGACCACATCCCTACTATTTATATTTTTAATATCTTTGTTATGGCATGCTAGTCCACTAGGCGGCGCATAGCATTAATGGTAGAACAGGATTTATCCGAACGCAGGAAGAATAAATCCTGCTGCTGTGATGATAACTCCAGCAAAAAGTGTATCTTCTTTATTCTTACCACAGGTCAGTAAATATACACTTATGTTTTATTTCATTTTAGTTTTGTGCGTTTTATTTTTTACACAAATTTATATTTTTTGGATTATTGCCCAAACCAGGACGATGCTGTTTTATAAAGTGCCCAAGATTTACTCCAGTGTTTCAAAGTTGAGCTGGTGGTTTGATGTTTTTTTTTTTTTTTCCTGTTTCTCTAAGCCCAACGTGATGTAATTTTCTTAATTAGCATTGCGTATAAAACTGTATGTTTTCTAATTACAGAAATGTCTTTTGTCATAATTATCTTCAGAGTGATTTAGTGTACAATTAGGACACAAAGATGTTTCAGCCAGCCACACGGCTCTTACTTCATGCAACATTTCCTCTTGATTAAAGTAACAGAAGCAGAAGTGACATGTTAATTTGTTCTGCTCTGGTTGTGGTACGGCTTCTCCACAAATGAACTCGGAGAATTTAAGACACCTCACTTCTCATCCAGTTTATTAACACTGCAACAAGTGTAATGTGTTGTATTTCCATACAATGATTTTTGGTTACAGTCAAAGATTAACTGTTGTTCTTGGGAACCCTGCTGACTTTCTTCGAACCATAGTCAGACTTTTTATTGTGTGGTCATGTCTTTTTTAAGGTTTTAGCACAGCATCGCATTATGATAAAGCTCTACTGCTGCACTGTAACAACTAATGCTCAAATGAGTTTTTGTCACGCAGACACTACATGGTTTCCTGGTGCATTTCTTTGTCTCCTGTGCGACTAACGAACAGCTGCAAAGCAACAAGTCAAACACAAACTGCCCAGGGCGGTGTTCTGGGTCCGCTGCTCTGCACCCTGCTTACCTTTGACAGTGTGGCTTCTCTGAACAACACCAGCATTATTAAATTTGCTGATGACACCACAGTCATAGGGCTGATCCTTGAGGGGACAGAGACGGACTCCAGGACAAAGGTGCTGGGATTCATGGCCCGGTGTCAGGAAAACAAACCTCTGTTTGATCATAGTGAAACCCAGGAGGAGATTGTTGACCCAAGGAGGGAGAAGAGGTGGCACAGTACAATTTAAATTGTTGTGAGGCATAGGAACTAAAAAAAGAACCAACATCGGTGAGGATGTAGACACTCTGTCCATCAACACCGATCAGCAGCCTCACACATGATTGATTTGTGTGGAAGCTGAGAATATTTGCCAGACCAAATCAATGGAACCAGTACCTGAGACAAGATCAGACAAACACTTTATTTGCCCCCTGTGAAAAAGCAGTGTTGTTTTCTTCAACTTTTCTAAGGCTGGAATTATTGATGCAGTAGTCAAGTAATAAAATAAAGAGGTCAACCTGAGGTTCATGCAATGATAAGTGTAGAGTAAATTATCCTACAGAAAGGGATTTTGGAATTGTTGCTCTTTGCACAGAAGACTAAAACCCAAAAAAAAAAACCCCATCAACATCTGGGCTAAAAAGATGACCTATTAGCTAAGCCTTTTAATTAGCCAAGAGTACACTGTTCAGTGAAGCAGCTCTACAACTGGCAGTTAATTCAATATTCAAACCACACATACACAGTAGTTGCTGAGACATAAAACATATGAGCCCAAGTCCCACCAGCAGCATATGCCCCGTAGTTTGAGAACCTCTGGGTAAAGGTAAGGTCATAAAAATCCAATGTGTGTCTGTTAGAGCTGTGGAGCAGTTTGAGGTTGATACTTATCCTGCACAAACAGGTACTGTGTCCCAGACATGAGGGTAAAGTTAACGCTCTTTGTTCATTAAAAAAGTTTCTTGTGAAACAAAAGGACAAGGTCTTCCTTCCAGAGGGGAAAAGCCCAAGCCCCCAGATCTGTGACACTGGAGCTCATTAAAACACTGACAATCCCACTGCCATTTTATTACTGACCATTTCTTCTCTCTCACTGCAGCGGCCTGTCTCTCTGCCTGGGATTAGGAAGGCGTGTGAATCAAAGTGGGGAAAAGCGACGGAGAGCAAGAAGAAGAAAAATGTTTGGAGAAGCTGAAGAAGGTGATAAAGCTTTTTTCTCTCTTTTTTCTTTTTGAGTAAAAAATGTGTAATGTATTTGTGCATCAAATAGTAGTGAGTCCTTTGACGATACAAAGAAAACAGAATGAAACTTCCCATAATTCTAGAAACAACAACAACATCTCCAATGGAAACACTGCTTGTCGAAGTACGATGCCAAGAAGTTACCAAAGATAGATTAATTAACATTTATATAAATGCCAAAACAAGTGCAGATTTCCACACATGACACAGGAACCTCTGTGAGTCTGTGGAGTCAATTGTCTTTTTTTTATCCTAGAAGTTTGAGTTCTACTTTAGCAGCCAGTGTATCAAAATCAAGTTTGCAAAGTCTCCGTGAGCTGTTTAAATGATGCTGGGAGTGATTTGTGTGTGAGTCCTTTACATGGGATATAGGAGGAGGAAAATCACACTATAGAAGACTGCAATAGAAATAGAAAGAAAGGGTGGAAAAAAACAGCCTGAATGAATGTCACATGAAAGTGAAGGGCCTGCAGAGAGAGCAGGACAGTATTGTACAGGGCAACAGAGCTGAAGAAGTGCACTTCTCTACTCACTTCCATAACAACGCGCAGCAAAAGAACAGAGTGCAAGAGCTCATTAACTTCCATCACGACTCGCTGTTATGAGGGACGGCAACTGATTCCGGGATGCTACACTTTGACTCGATTGCTGCTGCACTCTTCTCTGTGGCGTGAGCTCTGTGGTTTTAAAGAAAACTGACTGATGTGAAGGCACAGGCAAGAAGAGGAAGAAGAAGAAGAAGAAGAGGAGAGACAAGAGGGAGCTATGCATCATTATCTCAACACCAAGGCCAGGACTGTAATATGTGCTCCCCTTCCTGTTAGCACTGGCTGTGAAGAGTCACATACGTCTCATGAGGAGGACACAGTGGCTGACACCGTCTGTCTGTGTCTGGTCTGAAGACAGAGAAGAAAGGAGCCATTGAGGACGACCGTTGAGAACTGTTTCTGACAAAACTAGCTCACCGTCAGACTACAACGCTGCGCACGTGTACAGCCGCACGACACCGATCAACGCTCAGCCAATGGTGAAGTAGCAGCTGCACTAGTTAAAAGTTTGTTAGCTAATTAGTTATCAGGACAAGAGCAGTGTGATTGGTCTGACACGTGTTCTCAACCAATCATAATTTTAATCTGATTAATCATAAATTGTGGATTGATCACAATTAATCAAGATAATCCAACGTTCTAAGAGTAGCCATTTTTGTTTTTCCGTACAGATGTATGAGACTCACACACCTGTGACACATACATGTACCTGCCGTATGTGGGTTCTACAGGAGAAGAAAGAACGTACTGTACAATAAAACTCATTCCAGAGATTATCTGACTCGGTGCAAGACAGCACAGTACAGTGTATGAACAACAAGGGCATGTTTGAACTAATTAGAAATACAATAATTACTCCCCTTTAAATTCCTATCTTGGCTCTGAAGCCCATGAAGTGATGGCGAGATGCCAGTTCAATAATAACCTTATAAAAACCGAGTTACACTTCATGCATCTTTACTGTCTTTGCTTAGTTGAGCCATTAAGGCTTGATTAAATTGCATTTTTTATGACTACAATTTAATTGCAAAACAACAAATGTCTGTTCACACTAAAAGTGGTGATTTAATAGAGCCGGAGTGGACAGCTTCTGGGGCTTAAACTTACATTATTACATTTCTTTTAATGAGGCAGGCCCTCATTACCAATGATGCTGGGTGTGAACTAAGAAATCACACAACACCAGGGCACAGTGGTAGAATCATGTAACACATTTAATAATTGTGAGTATTTTTGAATCACGTGTTCTTTGCAGTCAGTTTTCTCAAAAGTTGGAAAACTGCAAGAAAACTCAACTAAACTAAACAAGAAAAGTTAGTAAGTACTTCAGTACTTTGTGTCATGTACACATGACTATTGTACTACTAATACAACAAATCAATCCTCTAATATTCTCTTATTTTTTATATGATTTAAAAAAAAAATCAAAACAACTCAAATACTTTTGCATATTTATCTTTTTTCTTATTTGAAAGAACACAATTTTGATTCTTTCTGAAGTAAATAAAGAGCGAGGTGCAGCCTGGAACAGTGTTTCCTGCGTCTCCACTTTTTAGTGATTGCAGTCATTTGGTCCCTGTGAAGAAACGGCAGGAACATCGACTCCATTTTAGTAGGTTGCTGATTAGTCTCTGGGTGGTCTGTTTACTCACTTTGCACAAATCCAGTGGATTTAACCTGCTCTGTAGCAGGGTAGCTACACAGCCCTGGTTACCATGGTGATAGGTTTTGTTTAAAAGTGGGCTGAGCTCTGTTGGTTAAGCCCTGTTGATGTAGCATAAACTTAAGGACTAAACTGGAATGACAGATGGTTAAGGAAGTATTTTACTACAAGACTTATCACATTAACTTTGTTGTTTTTCTCTCTGCAACTGATTATTTCTGAACCGCACACTCTTCCTTTATCATGTCTTTCTCTACTCCACCATGTGAGGGCAGTG